TCATTATTGCCATCTCAGGACCGGACACCATCCAGCGCTGCAATGCTGCAGGATTCTTAGTCAGGCGACTGCCTCCGCCATTGCCTTTCACTGATGCGTTATTCTGCTCATGTGCCTGGTCGATGGCCAAAGCAGAGAATGCGTGTTTGTCTTCTTCACTGTGAAGTTCCCAGCCATGAACTCTGCGAACACATCTGGATGCTTGTCTTCCAGTGCCACCATGTCACGCAAGTGAACTGGAATCCACCTTGCGTAATTTGTGTGCCCCAGGGCAAAGAACCAGGGTACAAAGCTTGGTCAAGCATCGATGTAGAGCATGAAGTCGCCCTCGCGTAGCGATCTCACGTAGATCATGATTTCCAGTTTCAGCTGCAGCATAATCGACCAGAACTTGAACTGGGGACTTGTATCAGCTCGGCTAGCACACCAGACTTCTACTGACATTGGAACCTGTCCCTCACCCAACCCGTCACAGTATTGGGTGTAACCCTCCTGTCGAGAGATACAGAACACTAGCTGTGACCTGGTGAGCCATCGAGCTGCGCGTCACATGGGCGGCTTTGATGAAGGAGTTGGCTGTTCCGGGTGGTGTAACTCCTGCCTGAACCAGGGCTTCTGTCCATCACTGCAATCAAGAAGTCGCCCAGAGTGTTGAATGATGCCCTTTTCGATGTGGAATCCCGGCAAACAGGACTGTTCCAAAGCTGCTCAGCGCCTGGTGTTGTACAGGGTTGCGATGTCTATCAGCTTGACACTGGTGCCAAGTAGGATCCATACGGGCTTCCTCAATGTAGGACACCAGTTCAGCACGGGCTATGCCGTGATTTTACGACGTCTTGGTTTGGATCCTCATTCATCTTCGTGCCTCTGGCTTTGTTGTACAGGGAGGCTAGACACTTCACATGGTACTTGGCTCTTTGTGCTATAAGGTCTCCTCCACTTAGTTTAGCCAACAGTGGTTTGTCCTCTAGTTTCAGGGCACATTTCCTGACACGTGCATCAAGCTCAAGGTGAAGCCTCGTGCAGAGTCTCCCTTACCCGCCTGTCCGTCACAAAAGAAAACACTTGTAAACTGAAGGTTGTGTTGGTCTCTCTACTCTGACGTATGTACTTTCTTGGGACATCTGCACTGTGCTAACAGGAGGTTTTTCTCTTCTCGGCTCGAAACAGTTGGGTTTTGTTGTATTCGAGTCTACACGAATCATGCCACCTGGCTCTGTGGTGCTCGAATGTTGCTTTGAATGCCCTCACATCATCCAGTTTGGAGATATCTATAGTCTTTGGCAGACATCCGATCTTGCTGAAGGCGAAGATTGTCTGCAAGAGTCTGGTACCAGAACCACCAGTGCTACGCTTTGATTCAGGTGGACAGCATAGCTTCTCAGAGCGTGTCTTTCTGACATAACACACACTTGTCCCAATGTGTAGATTATGGAAGATGTGTACCAGATGAGCCTGGCTGTTGGGGGTCCAATACCATAAAACGTTTGGCCATTGTCATCAGTTAAAATACCTTTAGTGTACAGCCACCAGATGCAAACCACCACCCGTGACCTGAAAGAAGAATTAGCAGAAATCGCTCGCAATCCCATACGCCCGCGCATTCGCTCGCATTCAGCAGTTGAATATTTCTGCCCGGTTTTTAATCGCTTGCAATACAGCGCATGTGCTTGCACTAGCGTAGACTGGTACCCGCTCACACCTCTCGGCTTTAGTTACTCGATGGGATCGAGTAAACGAGGGTGGGGCGAGTACCAGTCTAGCACCAGCGCGCCCAACAATGAACCAATCGCGTTCGAACGCGAATGGTAGCAGCCAATCATGTGTACAGCTGCACGCGCAACTCGTACGGCGTTCCAAATCGTCGAGCGAAAACATACGCTGCCGGGCAGCGTACAGAATCGCTAAGTGTGTCTATAGTGTGTATATATGTGTGTATACTAGGCTTACGATATGCACAATGTCTGAGCTCTCAGTACATATGTAGCAAGAAGATCTGTCAGATATGATAAGCATGCAAGGAGAAAAACCTCATTTGCGTCCCTGTTAGGCCACCATACATAATTGTGTTCAAGTCCACGTGAGGCTAATGCTTAACATGTCAATAACAAGCATTACATATATCCACTAGAATGTGTTTTGCACCAACCATACTTGATATAGTTCAACTTATGGGCGGAAAATGGTAAATTGAGGCCGCCATTTGTAAAATGGCCGCCAAAGCTTCCATGGGACAAATATGCGATGTCCCTATATCCAAAAATATTCCTAAGGGTATGTCCTAACTGTGTGCCAAATTGCCATGCTTTTATCATCAAACCCACCAATTCTGTCGAAATTATATCACATATCTGCTGTACTAGTACGGTCACGATCTTCGGGACGTCGGGGGGGGGGGGGATCGTGAAAAGGACTCAGGATGACAAATTTGGGGGTCAATGGTCAAAGGTCAAGTGTGAGAGTGTAAACGGAGGAGGAATATTTCCCCCTTAACTTAAGGTATAGCAGGAAATACGGAATTGCGGCACAAATCTGAATGGCTCAGCCTATGCTGTTAATATTCGGGTGTATAGTGTGATGGGCAGGAAACCCATCACCAGTGCGAAATTGGAGGTCAAAGGGCAGTGGGGGAAAGGCAGATTATCGGACATTTTCTGAGGACATGGCCTAATGGACAGAGTGAAAAACTTTTTTGTTTCAGCGCTGACCTACCATTTTTATCACTTTATTGAAAGGACAATGAAATGTGTTTTCCACTGTTGTGCAAAGAGTAAGTGTCTGATAACCTTTTGACCCTCAAGAGAAGGGTTAAACATGGATTCCTGAACTGCCTAAATGACGTCACAGTGTTGTCATATTTATGGCACATCCATAATCTAGAAACTCAATAAGCCTGGATAGCCGAACGCGTAGAGCACAGGCGTCACGGCTGAAAGGTCGTTGGATCGAATCCCATCTGATTTTTTATTATTTACCTGTTTTCTGTATTTTTCTATCTTTATCCATTTAACTATTTTTTCCCAATTAACGCAAATATTTACATGATTTATTGACAACAATTTAATAACAACAAATAATTGTTAGAACAATTAATTTTATTTTTATTTTTAATAGGGTTAGGGTTAGGGTCACAATCTAATATATATTTGAGTTCGTATGTATGTATCTATCTATCTATGTATCTTCCCTATAGGCGGCCAAACCGCCCAAAGCGATCTGGATTGCAATTTTCACAGGGCCATCTCTTATACCCGGGGAGTGTTCGTAGCTGAAAAAACCTGCCAAACCGTCAAACTCACCGAAAAATCCGTGAAAAACCCCTCAATTCGTCAATCTTCACACATAGTCAGCACTGACTGTACAGTGCTGCCACAGAGAGAAAAATCGATTCCCTCATCTCATCCGGCTGCTGGTATATTGTGAAACCGAAACCGGTACTAAAACAGAGCACAACCAGGATATATTTATGTGTCAGTGTGCGCGCAATGGCGGTGGCATGTACGTGTTTACAGTTGAAACGCTTCAAGTGCCTGTGGTTACGACTGCATTGTTTTATCAAGAGGCTTTGAAATGAGAAGTGCAACCCATTCGTACATGCTGTTACAATAACTTTTTCTTATTTACACCATATTACTACTATTATGTTCCAGGGGTTCTACGTTGGGTTGTGCTGTCATATAAATGTCATACGTAACCGTTTTTTACCATGCTTATTATATGATTACACTGATTTGTAAATATTTATAGAGATTCACTATAGTTTAGTATGAGTATTATATAGTTTGAGAGGTTACGATTGCTCAAAACATCAACGCATAAAGACGCGTACCAAGTGAGTAAACATTCTTTTGTAATTACAAATTTCCCCACTCGCTGGCCTGTCTGTATACTATATATATCGACTTTTTTTATTCATGCTACGATTTCACAATCCATTGTACCATTCGAAAGCTATGCCTTTTCTGATTCAGTAGAAAAATTCCTTCATTTCAATGTGCATGGTTGCGCGCCAAGCATTCACTACACAATATCCAATGGACACAGACCCCACTCGCTGGCCTGTCTCTATCTATACTATGTACCCAATTTCGTTTATTCATCCTACGAACTGACAATGGATAGCTGTACGTGGTGAGCTCAACAGTTCGAGACGCCAGCAATCTCTACATATTTCCACCACACAATAACACGCAAACCATTGTTCAAAGAGGTTTTCAAATGAAAACTGCAACCCATTCGTACATGCTGTTATATAACTTTTTCTCATTTGCACCATATTAGGCCTACTATTATGTTCCAGGGGTTCTAAGTTGGGTTTGCTGTCATATAAATGTCATACGTAACAGGTTTTTCCCCATGCTTAATTATCTTATTACACTGATTTCTAAATATTGATAATTGCTGTGCAATGTTATATTGTCGATTTTTACCCAATGTTCCTATTGTGTCCAATTATTAGTAGTATGAATTAGTAGAACGATTTTACCCAGCGCAGCGGGTACCCGCAGCTAGTGCACCATAAAACAGGAGTTTCAGTCACGCGATTTGTATCAACCAATGGGATTTGGGAGGTATGCAGAATGCAGAAGGTTGCTGATATGATGTGTACGCAACTGCGTATCTGCATACCTGCACCTAACAAAGGTGTCACTACGTACGACTTAAATGTTACGTTTATAACCGTAGCAACAGACCTCAGATGAGCCCAGACACTCTGTGGCTCTTGTTTATTCTCATGGGCCAGGTTATGCATGTGAAGCATCACACTCGTGTATGCTTGGCGAATGACTCGAGTCATTCCATGTAAGTCGACATCAGTATTGCCCAATGCCAGCATACTGCTGAGGCAGCTCTATGTGGGTATATAGTGTAGTTTAGCATGATTTCAAGATAGTTCAAGAAGTGAATGGTATTTAAGTCGTTACTATTCCATTAGTCATTACATATCCATTCGCCACAGACAATTTCTATTTTTATTGGGTTGCACATTTTACATTCAGGGTCAGAGCTTAAGCTGGACAGATGACCTCCCGGTGTGTGAATTGTCAGGCGTAGGATTTTCCACGAATCAGATATACAGAAAGGATGGAGTGCGGGCAGAAGAGCATGAATTTGAAGACCGAAGCTTTCACTTTAAGTAATCCACAGTAGTATTATACTATATTACAGGAAACATTTACAGGAATATGGACAGTAGAAGAGTTTCTTTATTTATACGAGTTTTGTTTACCTCGTGTTTATTACTAATTGTATTGTATTTGAGTTCACGGGTTGCTTGGTAAATGAAAAAGGGAAACTTAGACCAGAGAAATTATTTAGTGTTAAGTGAAAAACTTTTAGATTCTTTAAATAAGGACTATTTTTGATTACTAGGTTAACATTACAATCTTTTACAATGGCTGAAAATGAACTCCTATACCTTTTAATGCAAATTTTCCCAATGGGCACAGTTGTGTATTGCATTTGTTTTTCGCATAATGCTGTGACCATGATATCAATGTTGCTAATGTTGAAATCGAAAGTAAACTATGCCTCCTGATTAATCTATGTATGTTGGCACCAATTTCCAGAGTGGAACTGGATAGCGAAATGTACCTGTACGGCGTGTTTGATGGCCATGATGGTAGCCGAGCTTCTAACTTTGCTGCTCAGCGCTTGCCAGCAGAGCTGATCCTAGGCCAACTCCAGGGCCATAAGTCAGATGTAGATGTTAAGGAAGTTTTACACCAGGTCTGTCATTTATTCAGTTTCCATTTGATTACATTTTCAGCAACTAGAAGTGGAATTATTAGTATATTTATGTATTATTATTATTTTGAATGCATATTTAATTGAGTTACCGCAATCACATTTGGATGTCGCAGTTACATTTAACATGCTAGTTATCTATCTGTGGGTGAACTGCCTGCTGTAATTGTTTAGTGTTTTTGTTATTTTTACTTCTCACATTTTCAACAGGCCTTCATTGGCGTAGAAAAGGGATTCTTTGAAACTATTGATGATGCCTTGGCAGAGCGTGCCAGACTCAAGATGGAAATACCTGAGGTTAGTTTCATCTGAACAGTATACAATTAGTTTAATGATGCTTGAAAAGATTGCATGTGCGACTATTTCTTGTGCATTTTCGGTGAGCTTTGAAATGTTCATTGGTAACTACTATAGGCTCAGAGAGCATAACTAGGACTGTCGAATAGTGTGGAATTGCAGGGAATGAGCTACTATGACGCATGTAGACAGTTCCCGGACGTTATGGAGACATTAGAGAAGCTGAACACGGAAATCTGCGGTGGAACTACTGCGTGCATGTCACTGATTCGCAGCAACAAGCTCTATGTAGCGAACGTGGGTATGTAGCTTCGCTCCTAAGAGTACTACTCGTGGCAAGCTTCTTCACAATTTGGTTTTGTTATAGCATGAAATTCGGGTTATAAGCTAAGCGGCTTTTTGCATGACGCACACACAGACTGGGAGTTCTCGCACTTTAATTAACACGTGATTTGTCTGTGTGATCATTTGATGGACCAGTTGTACAGGTACCACATTTAAAACAGAGCTCCCCATTTTACAGCACAATTTCTATATTCGCTAGTAATTGTTGTAAGCCATGAGGCTCGTTAGTTTAAATCCCTATTGTTGCCATCCACAAGTTGTGCAGTCCAATGAACCTCTCTTTTGAGTAATTCTAGTGCCATTTTTTGTCTCGCTGTAGAGAACAAATGAAATTTGTTGTAATGTAATGTGATTGGGTTGTTACACCAGATTGAATATATAATATAATTAAGGTAGTTCTATAGCAACTACTATGGTACTATACTACATTATATATATCATAAGCTACAGTATTTCAAACACATCAACAGTGTCATGTTTGTTTTGTGTAATTGAATTAGGTGACAGCCGAGCACTGTTGTGCAAGTTGGACTCTGAGGGAGTCCTGCGCGTTGTTCAGCTGAGCGTTGACCACGACATTAAGAACGAGGATGAGTTGCTACGATTACAACAACTTGGACTACACATCCGAACAATTCGCCAATGCCGCCGATTAGGAAACCAGGAAATCACTAGAAGCATTGGTGACTATGCTAGGAAAGGTGGCTACAAGGACTTTGATTTGCTGAGGTGGGTGAAACTTGCTCCTCCCAAATAACTTTGTATCTCTATATCTTACGATTATAAAGTCATGTAATGTTACTTTTAGCCTTCATGTTGCTTGCAGTGTACTGATATTTTGGACACTAACACATTTTGCAGGCTTTACATGGCCTTAAAGTTCCTCATACATATATATTTTCAGTTTTTTCTAAAATTCTAAAAAAAAAGCCAAAACATATCAATCCTCGAGATTATTCCAAATTCTCTACTTCTCATTAGATGGAAGCCTTGATTATGACTAATTTCCTTTTGAAAAATGTTTATAATGAATGTAACATTAATTGTATCCCCCGAACTCGTTTGGGGGGATACTATGGATTTGGCCTCGTCGCGCCGCCGCTGCCGCAGAGATTTTTCTTGTGAGCGCTCTACCGGCTGCAGTTCTTCTTGGATCATCTTCAAATTTCGCATGAAGGTGCGTTATCGTAAAGCGAAGACGCCAATCGTTTTTGGTGTGGGCGGAGTCATCGTTGTCATGGTAACAACATTTTTTGTCGAAATATTCTAGAACCTGTAACTTCTGCAGTTTTTACCCGATTGCCATGAAATTTGGCACACACGACCAAAATATACATATATATCCGGAGTAAATAATAGGGAAGGAGTGTGACATCAATAAACAAGGGAAATTCATCATTTACTAGCCTTATAATACCTACGATTTACTACGCGTAACTCATCCAACTTGAGGAATGTGGCGGGCAATGTGGCTCGCTGGGAGATTTGAGCCTGATCAGCTGCTGCTGATTGCGGTTGGCATGCGTGCGTGGGGGCATGCCAGGTATGTGCAGTGGGGGCTGCTGTACGCCGTATGTAGCTGTGTACCGACCGGGTCAAAGGTTATCTCGCCGAGTGTTGATGCCTAATCTCCCAGCGAGCCAGATGCTTCGCCGAGTTAGCAATAGCGCGTTAGTAGCTGCCTTTTGTTTGAATAGAGGCGGGCAATGGATTTGGATTGATGGCCAAAGAATGGATAATCGTGTCGTACGTTTTAGTCTGTATCTCCGGATTGCGGGTGTATACGAGGAAACGATGAAGGTGGAGAAGCGTTGGTGGAGAAGGAGGATGGGGGAGAAGGGAGAAGCTGGTGGAGGAGGAGGGAGAAGCTGGTGGAGAAGGAGGAATGGGGAAGGAAGCCGGTGGAGAAGGAGAAAGGGGAGAAGCTGTGGAGCAGAAGGAGGGGAGTAAGGGAGAAAGCTGGTGCGAGGGGAGGGGAAAAGCTGGTGAGAAGGAGAGAGGAGAAAGGTGGCTTATCCCCTCTTCACGCAGCTCTCCCCCCTCCTTCTCGCACCAGCTTCTCCCGCTCCTCCTTCTCCACCAGCTTCCTCCCGCTCCTCCTCCTCCACCAGCTTCTCCCTTCTCCCACCTTCCTCCTTTTCCCACCGCAGCTTCTCCCCTCCTCCTTCTCACCAGCTTCTCCCTCTCCTCCTCTTCTCCACCAGCTTCTCCCTCTCCTCTCGTTCTCTCACCAGCTTCTTCCCTTCTCCCCTCCTCCTTCTCCATCCAGCTTACCCCCTCCTCCTCCACCAAGCTTCTCCCTTCTCCCCTTCCTCCTCTCCACCAGCTTCTCCCCCTCCTCCTTCTCACGCCTTCCTCCTTCCTCCACCAGCTTCTCCCCCTCCTCCATTCTTTCGCCCCAGCTGGTGTCTTAAGCTGAAGTGGATATCGCCATATTTGAGGCATATATGCGAAGTGCGCATGCGCATACGCATCCTATATCATATATATTCGGCAGGTCGCGTATAATCATATTATCATATATTTCGCAGGTCAGAAAAATTCGCAACAACAAAGACGTGGCGTGGCGCCATCAGGCCGGCGGGGGGCGGGGTCTATCTAGATATTTCGCAAGTTCAGAAATTTCGCCTCCACCAACCGCAACAAGAAACAATTTTTACTTTTTACCTTTCACCGAATTTGTTGCGCGCTCTCATCCAGCGTGGCCCACATCCTACATATTCATAGAACATGCCCCCCCCCCCATTGCACTGCGCATAAACAATGTGCACCTCATCTCCCTTATACATCAATCAAATCGGCTGCAGCCAGGAACGTACACCAGAAACAACTACGCAGCCAGGCTGCGCAGCAGCGGTAGACTCGTAATACAAATCTGGCGCAAGCCGAGACAGACGGACACTTCTTGTTACATTTTGGCATTGTTATTTCACGCTCGAACTCGGGCCAACAGTAATAGGCCAGCATTATTTGATAGAAAATGGATTAACATCTCGTGGTCAGCAGTCTACTGAGTCTTAAGCATACACCACTCTACGGTGTTTTACAGGCTTTGAATTGAAAGTGAATGTTATTTTAGTTATAGGTTCACCTATACGGTTACGGCAGGAATATTTTGCGGTTATTTCAAATACCGAAATATCGTAATTTGAGTATTAGCTCGGGTACGTGTTTTTCCGGTTTAACCACGAAACACTTTCTCAATCATTTGTGACCGGACTAATGATTGTAAGACGTTTACTGTTCGCTGGTCGCGTATACATTGAATACATTAAATACGAGTGGAAAACGTTTTCCCCCCAATATTCCCCTTCAAATTATTCCAATTTAATGTATACTTTTTAGACTAATAATATATAATGCTGGAAACTTGAACAACTAAAAAGGTTTGAAGAGAATGCCGTAATTAATTAAAGGGACAGTAGCCTCCTAGATTTAACTGCATACAACGTACTTACTGGTAATAACAAATCGTCTATTACCCACATGTTATTTGTGTCACCAGATACTAAATTATTATTTACAAACAGTCAAGCGCTACGAAATGTTGAAACGGCGCCATGACCCCGCGACCGTGCTGGTCCACCTGAAAAAGTTGCGTATTTGCATTTTTATTTTGCAGGTAGATGACCGAGGGCTAAATCACAAAAGTGCAATTTAATTTATACCTTTTTCAAGCTATTTAACCGAAACGATATCATTTTAGGGCAAATTTATCCATATATAACTGAAACTATATGTCGTTGTAATAA